GCAAAATTGTGGAATGACCTACCGTTAAATATAAAAGAGGTCAAGTCAGTACGAAAATTTAAAACGGAAATTGATAGTTTGTACAGTAAGAAAAGTTGTAACTAAGGGCTCCACGGCAAACATGTAAAACAGTAACTAGCTTTTTAATCGTAAATCTTTACTTTTAAACATTTTTAGGCAATCGACTGATGTTTTTACCGTGGCAAAATAAAGAAGCTTCCTTCCTTCCTTCCTTCCTTCCCATGGTTTTGATGGATTTTGGGTCATTTTCACACCTTTTCAAAAATGTGCGTTATTTATGAAGGATGCAAAATAGGTTATTTTTGGGCAAAAAGCATGGACTATAGCCCATGGTTTTTTATGGATTTTAGGTTATTTTCACACCTTTTCCAATAATATGCATTATTTATGAAGGATGCAAAATAGGTCATTTTTGTCTATTTTTAGGCGATGAGCATGGAATTTAGCCCATGGTGTTGATGAATTTTTGTTCATTTATTTAGATGCATTTTTAGTTTTTGAAGCCAATTTATAGTGAGATTTTGAGAATTAAGTCTTTTTTTCGTGTTTTAAAGGAAAATGAAGTTATAAAGAAAGTGCGAATGATGAATTTGATGTGAAGCAGCTGACAATACTTACACGCTTTGTACATGCGCAAACCATTTGATTCGATGATGTTTGAAGATAGCGGTTTTTAGCTGTGCATGTTTATGTGTACCTCTATTTATTGTTGAGGGGAGGGGGTGGGTAAGAGGATTTAGAGGCGCGAAGACATGGTTTTTAGACAACTGGAAGGGGATCACCTGCGTAAGATAAAGATTTAAATGAATAATAAACTAACTAGCGACCAATATCAAAAGGGTTATTATTCATTAGGTACCGGCAGCCACCATAAGAAGATAGTGCTCCCGCATGGGGAAAGTTATCTAATCTTTATGATGCTGCAAAAAATATTCTAAACCCGCCAGGCGTTAAATAATGACTGGTTTGTAACACAGTTTTTTTTAAACTTTACATTAATTTTTTTAAACTACCCACGTGACCTTTGTAAGAGATCAAAATACAAAAACATGGCCATTGTCGAGTGCCCTTAATAATGGATGCTAATGAAAAATCTTTTGTTAAATGACACCAACATGGCCGCGATGACGTAACGTCCAATCGAAGAATATTGCATATAAACTTTAACCTTAAATCTTATCAAACAAAATAAGTACGCATATCTTCCCACGTATATCTGTGAAGGGAAAACTTGAATGGATTTAGTTGAGGATGATCATTGACGTGGTAAGATAAATATTGAAGCAATCATTAGATTGAGTTTCATTTCTGTTTTACTTCCTCAATAAACTTCTGACATCTCTTTTTGTTTCTTTTGGCTTTCGGATTAATTTTCTAGCGATTTCTAAAGGTTCCAATTATGCGGAATGGTGACTCGTTAATTTTAGTACTGATATATATGTGTGATATTTGTCGGGAGAGGTTGTGCAGTTGTTAAGAGACAAACTAGAGTCCGTGGGTTTAACCAGGTGCTGAAATGCTATCTATCGTGACTGGCAGCTGTTTTTACTTTCCTTCGTAAAAAGGGTTTTTGTTTGCTTTGATACGAATCCTTTCGTTCAGTTCTTAGAGCTTATAGTTAGACGTTGCAAGGAAAATATATTGGGAAATGCTTGCTAAAGCGAATCAGTGGAAATATTAGTGAAACACCTTGATGTTTAACTACCGAACTACTTCTGGTAAAACGCTTACGGGTTTGTAGAGTCTGCTCCTATCACACGATAACCTGGCATCTTCTTCACTAAATATCAATAACAGGTAAACCGCTATTTTAATCTATAGGTAGTTCATCAGTTATGAGTGAAACGGTCAAAATAAAGATCGCATACTAAATTTTACTCTGGATTTTTCATACCTCGTCGCTACTTTCTTGTATTTAATACGAAAAAGTATACTGTTTGGTGTAATTCACAATCACAGGGGAAAATCTGTACGTGTACCGTGACTTTATCGATAGAATGAGACTCTGATATTGAATTGTTAAAAAGGCATAGCAAAAAAACTGTCTTGTGTAAGTAGGTGGTATAGAAGAACATTTTAGCTGATAAGGGGAAGAAACGGGGGAAGAAACGGGGGAAGAAAAATGATAAGGATCTGAAATTCGTGAAGGGCACTGTGCCTATTTGGATGTCATTAGAGAGACACGACATTTCATGGTCCAGTTCTCTTGCTCCTCTATTAGAACCATGCAGTTTTCTTTTCTTTTACTATATTTCCCATTCATTCTTCAAGATGAGTACTAGTGTACATAATATAAAAAAAACTATTGTAGTCACAGAACGAGCTGCCGTTCCTTCGCTTTCCCGCGACACTGTCTGTCTAAAAGACGACACATAATCTAAGCGAAATCCAACAAGCTGTTTTTATTGGCGAACCTTTCGCTTGTTGAAAAGGTTTCGTTGGTCAAAAAATCCACCAATAGAGATGGTTGAAACAAAATAGAATAAATAGCTTTTCTCTTTAGTATCTCTGAAAAACAAACACAAAGTAAATGAAGAAACATTTTAACTAGATAGACTTAAAAGTGAACAAATATTTCAGTGTTTTGCATTAAGAAATGAAGTCTTTCTTTGGTATCATATTAATTCAAAGCTCAGCTCAGCATCGATATGTGGCCTTGTGTCTGTGTGTGAATCGTTGTAGTAATATACACTTATTTCAATAAGGTTAGTCGCCTGAAAAGCAACAAAGCTGAGACCAACAAGGACTATGGGTAGTTACATTTTAACTGTTGATGGATTTTAGATCTTTTACCAGTTACAGTCTCACCTCTTCTGAGCATCCTCAAGCTGCAAATCAAAAGCTTTACTTGTTTGATATTAAAAGTTTCCCATGATCCTCAGAGATCTCAACTTTCTAGGTTTTTTGGTGACTAACTTTATTGAAATAAGTGTAAGCAAGTATAGCCTACAAAGTGAATAGTGAAAATTGAATTGCATATTGACTGAAGAAATTCACAGGCACCAGTAATTGTCCTCTGGTTTTTCTTCCTTCACAAGACTAAAAAACTCCTTTTTGTAACACACCGGCTAATAGACCCTGTCGCTGAAAAGGTTTCCACATCGAGCCTATCGAAAAGCAAAAAGTCACGCCATCCAATCATAACGCAAGAATTAAGAGTGACGGCATCGTAAACGTGTTCCATCTTTTTTTATTGAAATCATCATCCCATATATCTAAATTAAGAATAAAATGCTCTTTTTTACTGTAGATCGTTGCCGAGATAATCTAACAAATGTAATGCAGTACGTTGTTTTTGGGATTCTCCTAACAAGCCTCCTGACTGGTCAGATAATTCTCGACCCAGTGATCTCACACCGACTGCATCATGGATGCCAGAACGTTAGTTCAGTAGCCAATTACAAGCTAGAAGGTCACGTGTTTGATACCATATATGGTAAAAACTTTGAAACATGCGTTATATCATGCGAGGACGACAAACGATGTCTCAGTCTCAACTACAAGCACGTGACAAGAGCGTGTGAATTGAACACGAGAAGTAAATCAACCAATCCCTGTGATCTGGTACCACGTGATGGTGTGGTTTATATGGACAGTTTGAAACATTACACAAAGGACGCATGCGCACTGTTCCCTTGTAAGAATGGTGTCACGTGCTTGGTGACGTCATGTTGCCGTGGTTTCAAGTGTGACTGTGGGGTTTTTTACACAGGTGAATTCTGTGAAGGTAAGCTGGTAGCTAGGAAACAACAGTATATAGGTGGCAAGGAGGCAAAGAAACCTTTAGATTTTATGTGCCTTAAGACTCTCGACTGAGGCACAATTAAGCGTAGTTCTGACTGCTTTGTTTTGAACGTTTCTACTTTGCAGATTGCACCTTGCTTGGCGAACCTCTTGGGATGAAAAGTAAGGCCATTCCCGATGCAGCACTGCAAGCCTCATCTTATCGCCCGGGATATCCACCATCTAATGGTCGCCTTGACGACGATAAGGGCTGGATCTCTTCCTCAAATGACGTCATGTCTCCTTATTTTCAAGTTAATTTAAAAGAAACCAAGAGTATATCTCGTGTTTGTCTTCAAGGGACAAACATTTCGAGCTTTCCTAATGGAGGCGCGTGGATTAAACAGCTATATTTTTCCTTCAGCTTGGATGGTAGTAACTGGACAGATTACATCACACAGGACGGACATAAGGTACCATTATACTAACAGTAGATAAGGATAAGAAAGACATAGTATAGACAAAATACTTTTGTATTATATTTCTATAAAATAGCATCTAAAATAATATAAGACACGAACCGAAGAACGTAAAAAAGTAGATGGGGCGCTTTACTTTAAGTGTACGATTTTATCTCGGTGTGCTTTTTGCGAGCTCTGCAATAGTTTACTGTGCGCAACGTCATATTACTCTAAGCCTCCACATAGTTCAACTCACTGTAAAGCTTCAGCAGAGCCCTGATCTCCCTTCTTTTCAATCAGTGCTAGTGGTTGCGTACGACGTCCCACTTAACAATGTCGCACATCACGTGTCCTACCTCTGAAACAGACTTGTGCTGTGTTGATGGCGGCGTTACACATGTCATGTCTGTAGCATTCTTGTCGGTACTGACATTTGATACCAGAATTCCTGTCTTTTTTTCTGTAGCATCTTCAAGGTTGCACCACAGTGGAGGGCAAGAAATTCTTTAACTTCACAAACCCGATGCAAGCAAAATACGTCCAGATCAGACCAGTAACGTGGGAACAGTTTCCAGCACTCAGGATGGAGTTGTATGGATGTGAAGCAAACCTGAAAACAAATAAATAGAGTATCTCTTGATCAAGAGAGCGGACAACAATGCTCCTTGGAGCTGAATGTCAAAAGCGTCAACTCTCTTTCCAAATAGTATTAACTTATTATTATTACGTAGACGGATGTCGTTGTAATAAATGTAGGACATATCACGTGACCTGTATCATGTAACATTCTAGTTATATTAATTTCTTATTTTAAAGTCATTTTCGATTTTGCATCTGCTGATTCAAACATTACAATGGTTAATAAACAAAAATGAATAAACAGACTATTTACCTCGATTTGCTAAATTCGTACTAATCATTACGTCACGGTATTAGTAAAGAAAAAGATATAACTAGCTAAAAACTAGTGTGAGCTGCGTCGGTGTTTCTAATGAAACAGTAATGATGAAAAGGTAAATTATACACCGTGAAAAGATGAAAAAACTTACTGACGTTTCGGACGCTAGTCCTTCGTCGGAGTAAAAGAGGTCTTTTACTCCGACGAAGGACTAGCGTCCGAAACGTCAGTAAGTTTTTTCATCTTTTCACGGTGTATAATTTACCTTTTCATCATTACTGTGGTATTAGTAAAGGAAGTGTGGGCTCCCTGTGTTCTCGTGACTTTTTATGCAATGCTTTGCCAGTCATATTAGTTATGCCGTACATTTTGTAAACTAGTGCTACCAAATCAAACATTTTTCTATCGCACTGGTGTGAGCAAAATGCTTGTGATATCAGTCAAAACTAGGTATTTCCTATGTGTATTTCTGATAACGACCATTGGACGTACTGTAGAAGATAAACTACCTAATATTGTGTTCATGCTGGTTGATGACCTTGGATGGTTTGATGTATCATATCACGGGGCTAAAATCAACACAGATAACATTGACAGCCTCTCTAAAGAAGGGATAATACTCGATAACTATTATGTACAACCAATTTGTACTCCAACCCGATCTGCTCTGATGTCAGGCCGATATCCAATACACACTGGTATAAGGAAATGACTCTTATCCTTGGCTATTATTGAATATTCCTTCTGGGATTTAAGAGAGTTCATAATTATATTCATGTTAGGAAATTCGTTCAATATACTGTCTTTTTACGCAGGGCTACAACATGGCATCATATATCCACCTTCACCATCAGGGTTGCCACTACACTTTAAGATTTTACCAGAAAAACTAAAAGAAGTAGGTAAGACGTTGATCTCTCACAAGGAGTGGTGGCACTTTCACTGGGTTAAGTCAGTCAATAAATAATCTATTTTCTATATTCTAATAGGATATGCAACACATATGGTAGGCAAGTGGCATCTTGGCTTCTACAAGTGGGACTATACCCCAACGTTTCGTGGTTTTGATTCTTTTCTTGGATTCTATTGTGGTGCTGAGCATTTTTACACACATCAGATACTGGGTTACCTGGATTTTAGGGATGGCAGGAGAATATTAAAGGAAGAAAATGGTACTTACGCTACCGATGTTTACACCAAGGTCTGTTGGTTGAGAAATTGGTCAATTCCTTTCTATTTCTCCATTTGAAAACCTAGAAAACTAGTTATCCCTATAATTTGGAAAGTTGTTATAAAGAACAAAATCTCAAGTTGCCTCCAATCCCCCTTACCCCAATGACCCACTTTTGTGATTCAAGACCCTCTTTCAAGCAATTACCCAAAATATTCTGTCTCCTTGTTTTCTCACCCATTTACTTCCCAAACGATGTTTGAGGGGTATCAGTGACTGATTTCTCCTTAATCTACATATAATATCGTCATGTAGTATCATTTTCTCTTACCTCTTGCATACCTTCCTCTGAATATATCCTGTAATGCAACTAGCTCCATATATGGGTGAAGTGTGAAGTATTCCCATTTATTGCCACTTTTCAGCGTACACAGGAAATAATAAGGTCCCATGATCATTCAAAGCCACTGTTCTTGTATCTTCCATTTCAAAATGTCCACGATCCCTTGGAAGCACCATCAGAGTACATTGAAAAGTATAGCTTTATTACTGATAAAACCCGCCAGATTCATGCTGCTAAGATAGACTATACAGACAAGGCAATAGGTAACATCACTAGAACACTGAAAGAAACTGGGTAAGTAAAATGCTATTGTATGTGTGTGCAGCACATGGGGAAAGTAATATGGAAGAGTCCATTCTTCTGGATGTACATGGATACATGGATATATGGATACCCCATCTTAGTCACATGTTCTACAGGCAGCTCAGTAGGATTCCAACTTAATTGGTGGTAGCGGTGTAGAGTTTGGAAATGAACTTTAAGCCAAAATCAAAACAAATGGGAAAAGTGTAGCTAGCCAGGCCTTTTTTACCCCTTCCACAGCTTCGACCTGTGCAAACAATTTCATCAATTTAATATCCTATTATTTTTGCAGTCTTTGGGAGAACACACTACTGATATTCAGTACTGACAATGGTGGTATCCATCTATATGGTGGATACAACTGGCCTTTAAGGGGGGAGAAAACCACGCTGTGGGAGGGAGGAGTGAGGGGAGTTGCCTTTGTTAGTGGTGGACTGGTTCCTAGGAAAGGTGTTGTCTGTAAAGAATTACTGCATGTGACTGACTGGTACCCAACATTAACTCATTTAGCAGGTTAGTGAACAGGTTCTGTAAATAATGTTTCTTTGCTTATGAGGCATACATTCCAAGACATTAGTAGAGGGAGTTTCAAAGGGGTTCATGGGAAAAAAACAAAAATCAGAGTTAAAACTATTTCCAGCTAAAAAATTCTAGGATCCAAAATTCACCGACAACTGAGGTGATGATGATATGATGTAAAAGTTAACCTAATATAGGGGCTTCTCTGCAGTTTTGGAGTGAACCTGGCTGAAAGATAGTGCATGACAAAATACATCAACAGCTTACTGCTACGTTTTGTAGGATGTTCAGACAAGAATGATGCCATTGATGGAGTTGATGTATGGAAGACTATTGCATATGATCAGCCATCACCAAGAACTGAAATCCTTCATAACATTGACTTACCTAACAATGCTACTAGTGCACCTGGCTATGAAGGAATAGCTGTTAGGATGGGAGACATGAAGCTGATGTTAAATGTACCAAACTCTACCTGGTACATACCACCAGAAATGAAGGATGACACTACATGTTGCAAGGTACTCAGTCATTATATATGTACACAATGGGGGGAGGGGTAGGACTGTAATGGACCTAAGGAAATACCGGCTTATAATTTAGACATTCCTAGGTTGAGAAAAAAACTGGGTCGAATTGGCATCACAGTGCATTGTGGGATGGTTTTGGGGGACAAAAAAGCCATCTTTAAAATATATTAAACAGTCCCGCAATTGCACTGCGATGCCGACTTGACACAGTTTTTTCCTTAAACACAGGATGTCTAATAACACTCTTCTACTCTAAAAAATAAATATTATAATTACAATCACATTTCAATGTTTCTAAAAAAACAATGAGATGATACCTTTGAAAGATGGTTCCATTACTTTAACTAAAGTTTTCCACTTTTTCTAGACTGATGGAACTACTACTGTTATCACAGAAGCTTTATACAACATTACAGCTGATCCAACAGAAAGAACTGACCTCAGTAGCAAATATCCTGATCTCGTACATAAGATGAAAGATCGGGTTCAATATTACATGAAAGGTCTAGTACCACCTATCATGAAACCTAATGACCCTACGGCATATGAAACGGCAAAGAAGAACGGAGCTTGGTCTCCTTGGGAAGAGTGATAGAACAATTGGACTTTTACGTAATGTTTATAATAAATGAGCAGGAGTGTTTTATCAGGTATAAAACACGAGGCGTAGCCAAGTGGTTTTAGTCCCAATAAAATACGGTCTGTGAGTTTATTGAATAGCTTAGAAAGCTCATGATGTATATGTTCTCATACTGTACAGAATTCTTTATGAAATGAACCAAGTTAGATAGAGAAAATCCAAGTTAAAGTTTATGCAAATGAAGACGAATCTATATCAGATATAAAACCTCCTTCATGGTCATGATTTCTATTGTGTTTCCTTCATGAATTATTGAGTTTTTTTTACAAAGATTCATGGTTAGCTCTCAGTTGTTTTAATTATTTTACAGTGTAAATAAGTGATTACAAGATACCAATAATTACAAGATTATAAGATAGAATTATTATCAGGAAATAAAAATATGATCAAGAACATCTTATCGTAAATATACAAAGATAATACCACGGAAAAAAATATTAGTTAAAAAAAAGAGTATACAATTAATTTTTGATGAAAAATTATTAATTTTATAAAAATAAAATTGACAAAAAATAATAAAATTTACTTACCAAAAATCTGTTTTAATTTACACCATTTTGATTTAAAACCTACAAGATTTTTATTCAACATTCATTATTCAAAATAAAAATATAATTACTGTAATAAAAAGTCTTTTGTTTTTACATATTAATCTCTACATCTGGTCACGTAGCTCCATAACCTGCATTTTAGTTGTTTCTAAAGCATGTTTTGAAGATTTAAATTTCTTCACTGCTGTTTTCCCATTTAGTTGACGCATTGTTTGAGAAAGTAAAAGATGACAGCGATCCAGCAAAAACCCTTCAACATACTTGGCACCATATGTTTTGGTCAATCTTCTTGAAGGTTTCACAAGGCGATGTTTTTTAAGTTGTATTTGAAGAAGCTGTTGTACAGTTTTAAGGTGTTCTTCAAACTCACAATCATTTGCTTGCAACTGCTTCTGTAGTTCATCTTTACAGATTTCTTCACACTTTACCAGCATAGCAGCTATATGGTCATCTACTTTTTCAGAAGATACCAACAACAGTGCCTCGAAACCCAATTGCTTGATTACTATGTATGCACTGTTGATTGCTTGATCATCTACAATCTTCTGTACTCCCTCCAGTACCTCATAAGGAAGAATCTGTTCTAACCTCTTTTTGTTTTCTCTGTAAACCGAAAAGTTATCATTGTAAAAGCAAAACTTTGAAGATGTCAAATTTTTGGCAAGCTTTACTTGTGTGTTAGTCCTTGGTTTCAGTTTTTTCAGACTCTGCATAACAACGGCAAACTTTGTGAAATGGTCAGAAAGATCTAAGTGGTATTTGGCCAAAGCCTGAGTTGCACTTCCGCCTTGTGGAAGCAGACCTTTTAGATCTCCTTTAGCTTCAACAGCATCAACAAGCTGCTCATACATTGGAAGAACTCTTAGTATATTTCCCTGTATATCAAGCAAAGACTGGTTAATTGTCACCATTTCATCAACCAAGGATACATGAAGTCCATCCGTTTCTGTTTGTTCTGCCATTATGGCTTGTCTTCCCTGTATCTTGGCCACTTCACCATGACACTGGTTGCATATTCTTAAATACGAGCATACATCAGGTTCTTTATCAGGCGATCCAATGATGTTGATGAGGCACCAGTTCACATCTTTGTTAACATCTTCAACATATACAATCAGTGTTTCTGATGAGCAGTTTGAACAGATCACTTTACCACAAACCCTAAAAACAATATACTTATCATTATTACTAGTCATTGGGAGTATGTAGATGATTAACATCCAGATATCAACTGGTGAGATTTTAGTAGGATAGAAGTAGCTAGACTGCAGACTGTCAGACAACAATCTAACAGTAAATCTAGGTTTTGCTCTATTGATGCATATAGTTAGTAGTAGGTCAGTTGGAGAGTCATGTTTGACAAAGAATGGAAGTAAAACCATGGTGACACACATCAGCACATCTATAGAAACTATTGTTGGGCTGATAAAAATTTATTTTAGGTATAGATTCTCATTCGGTATCTCATGCTTATATCTAGTCAGCTTGTGAATTAATGCACCTGTATGAAGCACTATAAAGGATCTTTCAATTGTGAAAGATTATTTATATTTTTTATTTAATATTTACTGCTTGACTTATCCATTCTACCATTCTACCATTCTATTTCCTTGGGAAAAGTGTCTTTCAGCATGTACATGTATGTACGCGATGCCACATATAAAGCAGACTTACCTGCAATGTGGCTTCATCTCTGCCAAAGAGAAGGTCTTGTAGCAACATAAGCACTGATCAGACTTTTCCTATGGTCAATCAATCAAATAGGTAAAAAATCTATTAAAATCAGTAAAAAATCTGGGGATTAGTTTATTAGTTTTCTTAAACATGAAAGTTTGTTTAAATCACAAAATTACAAATGGCAGGGGATAGGGAGGGGGAGGGGAGGGAGATTTGTGCCTACATATTGTCAAGGTCAGAGTACTGTTTACAAAAAGAAGCTAGTTTTTGTAATTAAATTCAGTTTTGAGATGTGTAGCAGCACTCACAATCCAGTGTCTGGACTTCTGCCATTCAGGTATTTTCACAGCACTCAATGTACCCATCACAAAACTCATGATCTTTGAGGAACCAGCCTTCTTCTTAAAGCCATCCACAAGTCTTTGGCATTCTTCTTCATAGTTCAGAGCTTTCAATGGAAGCAAATGATTTTTAGTGCCATTGTTGTTCTTGGATTTTTTTCTTTCTTTGTAATAACCAAATTCAGCAAGACGTGACCGAACGGAACCAAGGGTCTGAGGTCCAACATCATAACATTTCTTACAAACCTGCAAATTAAGTAAGATGAAATACTTCTAGCAACAATACATAGTAAAACTACATAGAAGTTGAAGGTGTCTTGTCATATATGTGTATCATCGTAGGAATAAATGTCCCTCTTTCTTTCCCTTCATTTCATTCTATTTTATTTCTGTTTTAATCCTTTACTTGTCTAATTTAGCCTGAGCTTTTCATGCATTTAATTATTAAGCTATTACATTAACTGCTCAAATTCGATCAAGGTATTGGTACTTCATTAAGGTATGTATAAACATAGTTAACTTCATGAAGTACAAGACTGTTGTGCATAATACTCACCCTGTATGGAACTCCTTCAGCATCAGGAGTTGCAAAAACTGACAATCGACGTCTGTACTGGCTACAAGCACCACAAAACACCTCGCCACATCTAAATCAAAACAGACCAGTAACATCAGAGAAAATCTGAGGTCGTTTAATGAGGTACCTAGGTACAGTATGACGGAATGGTCTATTTATAGATCAACGTTCTTACCTTCTGCAATGATGCTTTCTTTCAGTGATAGTAAACCTTTTAGCACAATCACTAGCTGTACAATGAGTCCTACAGTTGCTATCTACCCAGTGTTTATTGGTAATATCAGCAGTATCGGATCTGACAGCAGCCTGTTGACCAACACGGTTTACTTCCGTCGGCTTATTCTCATCTTCTACAAGAAGCTGACTGATTGATTGACTCAAATCATTCCATTGAGCATTCAGGGACTGGGATCTGTAATATCGGTGACCTGACATCATTCAAATCTAAAATTAAAGCGTGGAAATAATAGAAAACGATTTAGAAAACATCGTCCGAAACACGCACTGGTAAAACAACAGGGTAAAACAATAAGTCTGTCAAACACACAGGGATCCCAATTACCATTTAAGCGGTCAGCGGTATTATGTCTTTATGTCTTTGTAAAATTTGGAATGGAATATCGGACTTTTGGATAAAGGAACAAGTATCATAGATGTCATGCAATTGTCTATTCTGTCTACGTATATTGTACAAATCTCTGGGCATCTCACGCCCGGTATAAATCTAGATAGAAAATTCTCGGATTCAATAACTTTGATGCGTGACCTAGGCATTGATGTAGGGCGGAGCAGATCGATAGACATCTCATTTTTATCAACCTTTAAAAAAAACAAACACACTTTTTCCCCTTTGTGGACCCCAGGTTTCGGATGGATGTTGCAGATGTCGTAAAACAAGATAGGATAGCGTTAATTGATATCTCATCTATCAACAGTAGAGTCGAGTGAGATAAGAGTCGACCAGTATTCAAATGGAACTATCTAGAATACATGCATATCCTGTTACCGGTTATGGTAGATCTGTACATCACGTGGTAAGAGATATCCCGGGCTGCTTGAAGACAAAGTTCGCACAAATTTAGAAAAACATGTTTCATCAACTATGGAGCCGTGAAAATTCTTATCTGTTCTGAGCTTATTAGGGTCACTGAAAGACTGATTTTGTCTTTACGCCGTGATTTTCATCGAATGAAGCAAGTTTGTCTGGTTTTCTTGTCTATGATTGGATGTGCGGAATTAATTTGGTCAATTATGCAAGAATATCGGAAATGATCCTTCCAAGTCAAGGGTTGTTTGGAAATTCTTCTTTTCCTGATCAAAACAACCTGGCTAATTCCAAGATAAAGAAATGCGATTCTCTTGGCCTTGCTGGCCTGGCCGGGAGTCTTCGTACAAAAAACTATTTTTAGCACCCTAAGTGTTCTGCTCACCAAGTCTGCTAAGGGAAGTCAGTAAATCTTACCTTTCCTCTCATGAGACACACACCTTTGTAATTTCTTCCGTTACAGATTTTATTGCTTGAAGAGGAATTCAAATCAATGAGTTAAGAAAAAGCAATATACCTTGGGATTAGTAAGAATTCTTCATATTATGGCTGGTTTGACACCTAACCAAAACAAATTAATTCCAGAAACGATTTTGTGTAACGACATTATTTTATGAGGCTCTTGATTGCACAGATATTCCCTTCTTGTTTCATGATTCGCTTGATGAAATTAAAAGTATACGACACAAGGACCGACACGAGGGCGAAGATCGCATGGTGACACCCTTTTAGATAAACAGTGTTTTTCTCATTATTTTCTAACCACGTTTTCTTCATTAGCGTATCGTTCTTATGAAGTAAGTAAAATAATCAAGACAACACTAAATGTTTCCGAGTTCAGGCGATTTGGATCTAAGCATGTTCGGCATCTTGAATGAAGTCCTTGACCCCCGGGCACACGTTTTAACTCGAAACACATCATAAAACGCAGCTTGTCTTACGGATCTGATTCATTCAAATAATCGTGGCTCCGAAAACACGGAATAGTTAAAAAGACTGTTCTACAGCTTTAGATTCGCTACGAGAGAACACAAGCTCAAACGCTGCTCTGCGTGACTGTAAGTACTATCATTTACAAGATACTACTGTGACAAAGCCATGCAGAGACATGCACGAACACTATTGCGCTAACATGCTGCATGACGTCTTTTACAGTTATCTCGTTGAATGAAGTTTAAACTACAGGTTTTATCTAACAAGGCGTGCTTGACTTGCTTAATTCCTAAATTGCCACATCGTGAGTATGATCTAATACTTATTATACTGTGGCCTCAAGGTACAATTACTAGCCATTTTTATATGCCGAGTGTGATGACATCATTCGACAGACTGAGCATATGAAAGCTCATTACCATACACCAATTAGTGTTGAGTGTTTTCTAACTCAGCATCGAGTATTATATTATTCAGTAATTATCACCATCGGCATGTTACACCCTTTTTATTCAAGTCTATACACTTCACGTACAATCCATCAATAACCTGGGTTTCTCGTAGGTAAGGTAGTAGTGCATGTTGCGGTAGTGTAGCGTTAGACATATTGCCGGGGTTAAATGTTATTTATGAAGATATACCAATATATCAAAACAGGACCTTCGGTACTGGCTAGACGTTCTCAGTAGCATACAACAAAAGAACCTAGCTCTTTTCCTTTTTCACTTTCTACCCGAATGCCTGCAATGATCGACTGTTTTTATTATTTTATACTATGCGTGTCGTGATTTCTCAGTTTCGTGGACATTCTCGATAGCATGCTGGTTCGACTGGTAGTTCCATTGCTGTGTGAGATATTAGCTTCTGTGTCATTTAGCTCAAATTTACGTTTTTCGACTTTTTGTTCAAATACCTAGCAGCTTTTGTCGCCAGATGTAAAAAGACTGAAGAACCAAAAAAAATCTTAAGGCTAACTCTAAAAAGGTAGTTTGATGATCGTGATTTAGCTTGTGTAGTAGGCCCTCAAGGCATTAATAATTCAGGGAGAAACTAGCTATTAAAATTGAAGGCATTCCTATCTTTCAAACACTTGAAAATCTCCAAGAAAAACGTCCTGGCACAGGAACTCTGTTTGGCAAAAAAAAACAAAAAAAACAACAACTTTGCACTTGATTATCAATATTGACAATGCATTGCCATTCACCACAAAATCCTGAAAATACTTTTCTTCGTTGCGCATTCAAGACTGTCCTCATGTTTGGACATTCTTCGATATTTTACTCTGCCCCCTGCTTGGCATTGCAAAGGGATTTCAATATTTCAGGCCACATTTGCTTAACCTTCCTTTTTCTAGTAGAGTCGATTGATCAATGTTCAATACAAAAAAGCGCGCTACTAATCAATATAGATACAGTTGATTGAAATGCTTGAGGTGCGCAAAGTCTTCTTCGTAGTTTGTCTTTATGGATTGTAGCCTGTTCAGGTGCCACGCTTGTAATTCATTTCCCATAACAAAGACTCTTTACTGGCGTACGTTTACGTACAACTGTCAAGCTTAACACATTCACTACGCAAGAGTACTGCTTTCCAAACACATTCATGTTTTTCTCTTTTGATACTGCTCCGCTGCTGCGCCAAACCACTTAAAAGAATGTTTGGATCAACGATTAAGTGTTATTTTTGGTCTGTCAAATTAACAAAAATCAGCTTAACGCATTCCACTAGAGCAGAGTTTCCCGTAGTGATGTGAGGATCGTAGGTCAAGCTGCGTTTTGTTGCTGTTTGTCATAATGACACTTTAATATGTTAAACATCACCATCAGATGGCTTTATAATGGTCCATATTGTAGATGTTATGTAGTTAGAATCATCCATTCTCACTCTAAGTGGTTTTTAAATCCTGCCAGGGTGTTGGTTTGTTGTTTCAGCACGACATAAGCGGCAAACGATGTCTTCTTCTGATATAAATAGAGTTAAACCTGACAAGGACTTGTCGGGGGGAGGGGTAGGGCATCAAGTAGGTCTTGCAAAAGCCAAGGGCAGAACAACAGAGAACTCAGGAAGACATATAGAAGACAAGCTTTTGATTTTTTAATGTATTGGTTCGTGTGTGGATATTTGTTGGGGGAATTAAAGTGGTATCTACGAAGTGTTGGTAATGAACCGGAAGCCGGTGAAAGAGTACAAAAGTCTGCTACGCATGCGTGAGAACTGTAGTTGAAAAAAGCCTCCTCACTCCCCTCCCCTGCGGACCTGTCATGGCTTATCAAACCAGCCTTGTCCTGATCTTTGACCTACTGCATCGTCCACGTTACCAAGCCTTTAGTCAAGAAGCCCGGCGAAACCTTCACACGCTGGAGTAACACAAGCTTAGCTAGTCTGCCCAGATAAGGTTAATAGCTATTATAAAGAAATCTGGTGGATAATTTTTTAAAAAAAGCCAGGCTAAAAATCGTGTCTAGCACATGCGGACGGGACATGAAACATTCTTGACGATCAGATGGAATCCCAGCATCCTTTGCCACTAGGCTAACAGGATTCCTGAAGTAGGAATAAACTACGTCGAGCTTAACGAAGCTAACGATTCACAAAAATACTAATCGATATGTAAGTTTCGAAGAAATACATCAGCATTTTATTTTAACTGATAGTGGGAGTTTCTGTGAGAATAGAGTCAAAATAACTAATTAACAAGTTTATATCAGGTAGTATAGAGCCCCTTACTGACCATGACTGATTACCATCTACTGATACATGACTCTATCCTGTATATAGTTAAGAGCTACATAAGCTGATCCACCTTAGGATCGTATTTAAAGCATCAGCATGGCTCTTTTCAAGAGGATCAGTTACACACTATAACCAATGCCGTACAGGAAATAACTGAAACAAAAAATCCTTGTGAAGGCCGAGCGCGCCCCGACAGATCAGTCGAGATGTCACGTATTCTATGAATACAAATGTGAAATAAAACTTCACCTAGAGAACTAGTATAGAATCTCCTTAAAAGGACCGCAATACCTGTCAATCAATCGACATTTACTTGCTTAGTTCGTAAAAGTAAAAAATAGTCATTTCTTACGAAGTAATTCCGAATGCTCTCCGGTTTTTAAGTTGAGACGATAAGAACTTGTGCGCGCTACCTTTTCGATATATCATTCACTGATTGTGATTGGCCGAGAGGTGGGGAAACAATAGAAAGCTTTAGTCTTTTACTCCCAGTATGAGACCTACAGGATATTAGAGAGAGATACACGATATAATAGTACAATATTTTGAAGAATGCAGTCAACAGCCCATACAAACGCCCTTCCAGTGCTGTAACGAGCAGAGTAAAGTCATTATTACTGACCAATATGGATATCATTATTTTGCGACCAGATGACAAGCCAAATTGGTTTTCAATTCTTACTTAAGTCTTTTTCACATATGGAACAATGACTTACTATTGAACTCCATCCCTATCTGTTGGCATATCTCTTGGATCATAATTTGCATTGCTATCGCCAAATCTTTCAAGCCTTTATTTTGATTCAAAGATTAAAGAATTATCTTAGTTAGTTCACACTCACTCTCGCTCATGCCGACCGCAAGGAAAAAGAAGAAACTAGACGGTAAACAGCCGGCGAAGCGCTTATCGATGTATGACTCACAATGACACACACATAGATAACTTATTCCTATGCATTTCTATGACGTACAGTCCTTCAACTGAACACACCCTTTTGTTAATATTTTTAGTTTCCAAGAGAGGTTTTGTTTAAGTTCATCATTTCAATACAAAAATATTTGTGCATTTACTAATGATCATAGCTTGATGTCCAAACCGACTCGCAATCGGAGAAAAATCCAGGATATGAAAAAAAAGATCGGAGAATCAAAGGAGCTTACGGTGCTTGTAATTTAGATACTTATAATAACACATATTGGTATGCGCTCTGATTGGTTAGTTTTGCTGTGATATCATTGGTGGATGTACGTGACGTCAGTAAATGACCATATAAAGTACGTAAGTTTCTTGTGATAACAAAACTGAGTGAATGATATTTTCATATTCAGATGTGGTTTCGCTGATGAGGAGCTCTTGAAGTAGGCCGCAGATAGTTTACGTGTTTACCTACTTGGTGTACTCCAAAACAAACCTTGAAGAGGTATGTATGTGTGTAATTTTAAACGTAACTAAGGTGTCAGAAACTGCAACCATAAAGTTTAAATTAAGAAAGAAAGGATATTTTGCGAAGAGCAATAATTTTATCTTAGAAGCCTGGCTGATCACATTCTTTCCAACCAAGTGAAGCACAGAGCATAGAAAACTGTGTAGTCATATTGTATGGTCAAATCATATTATCACCTATAAGCCATAAGCCACTGAGCCAAAACTTGTAGACTTGTACATTGTATAAGAATGAATTAGCCACCAAGAGAAAGCGCACTTACACATTGAATATGTTGTTCATTTGAAGAGATCTCTCACTTGATATATTAATCGTAAGATCTCAAGAATAAGAGGCGTTTCATTAATACTAATATGTTTTAGAGAAGTGTCTTTGAATATAAAACAAAAACTGAATTCATCATGAATACTTCAAATCAACCAAGCATCCTCTAAACCCATTAGTGTAATTAACCTCTTCAATGTATTTTATTACTTCAAGTCAAATGAAGTAAACCAAGGTTTCGCCAAGCCGACTGAAGTGATTTATAAAATCAGAGAGAAAAATCTTCTCTACAATCTTCATTGATCCGACATCCGTATCGTTTGGACGTTTGCAATCAGATAGGAAAACTGATACGACCAAGAACAGCCCTAAAAAAAGTACCGAGTTCTCACGGTCTTGTGGGGTGAATTCAATTGTGCAGTGAGATTTGTTCGTAGCAAATTTGTTCTAATCAAGATATGTGTTTGCTTACCAAGGGCGAGTGCGTTTTATAGAGACGAGATGGGTGTAAAAGAGAAGAGAAAAGAATAATGGCTGATTTGAATGGGAGTAAAAATGGAAATATAAATATAAAAGAAATAAGATGAATTATATTTGAAAGTAAAAAGAGAGTAAAATGATGTAAAACGGCATTTTAAAAAATGAGAAAAAAGAAAAAAATAATAATTTGAAAAAATGTTGAAGAACTTGAAACAAAAAAGGTAATAGCATATCGGATACTGAGATATAATATAAAACGAATAACTCATGCCTAGTGAGTTGAATATGTCCACTGTTGCGTGCATTTACAGACAGTTACAAGCCTCTACAAATGAAACTCGTTAATGATCTATCCTTGACTCACCCTGACTCCCTGACTGAGCCAATAATCGGACGATATTTTCCTTATTCACCCTGACTGAGCCAATAATTGGACGATATTTTCCTCTAGAATTGAAATTGCTTCAAAAAATAAAAATTAATGTTAATGCTAGCTTCCTGTCATGATATTATGGCCATCAAACGTCCTGCTGTCCAATTTGAAAACTTAATTTATCATCGTGAAATGAGTAGGTCTACGTGTTATTACAAGTACGTCCATGCATCGTCCATCGAACATGCATTTCAATCGACGGCCTAGAACATCGCACTAACTGAGTTACAGTTTCTGGCGGTAACGGTGAATAGTATTACTACAGCAAGATTCCGCTAAATCAAACGAATCTTCTTGAATGTGTTATGAATATATTGAAATTCATTCAAGGACTGATCGACTATACAAATCACAGTATTAAAGTCCATGAAAACTGATGCAGCTAATGGTGATGTTAATTTACTAGGTAACGAAGTAAAAAGGAAATAATCTGGAAACCTCGTCGACTACTGAAACAGCACTTTAAAAGACTTCAAAAACAGGTTAGAATGTTGTTCACAACGTCATGCTAAGAGCAAATGAAAACATCAATTCTAAAAGATCAAAGACAATTCAAGGCTAGACTATTACAGACAATTAGCTATTTAAATACAAAACAATTCGCCTATTTTCCAACCGCATTTTCAAAGGTTTTAGTGGTGTGGTTGAATATAGGCTGGATTGCGTCCCAAAAACAACAGAAGATTTCTTGAGTGAACGTAAGTACAGAGCCAAGATGACTGAATGCGGTTTACGAATGGTTGAGTGTTTTGCTCGAGCTATATTTAGTTGTTCCCCTTGATAGAATTTCTTTAGAACCAATCTGCTGTGAAATAATTCGCTCAATTGATCACTACCGAAGAATGAATGGAACTTAGTATAGAAAATGTTCAAATTTTTGCGTTGATCGTTGCTGTTCTTGAATCGCAGGTCGAAGTGACAAGAGTTGTTTTTCGTATTTGATTGATGATGCAGACTAAAGCAGAGAAGAACGGTCGAGTGGTGATAGTCGTATCTGTAGGAGTGATAATCATTGGCCTTGCTTGCATGGTTGCTGGTGTCGTGTTAATGGTCAAATATTCAAAGAGTCAGAATATCGACAGTTCATCTAACCGCGATCCCTACACCAAAGAAGCTCGCAAATCAGGACTTGATGTTCTCCTCAATAAACTACAAGACACTCACTTCCGCCTCAATCCGGACCGAATCTATAAAAAAGAAGGAGTAACTGATCAAGAAATACGTTTAAAGTACAGACCGAGGGATCTTTCTTGGGAACGATTAAAACACGTAGCAGATGAAGCTAGAAAACTACTTGTAGAATTCAAAGAGCTGCGTATGAGTAGGAATAAGTTGAGCATCCGAGAAAAACGTGCGTTAGAATTAGCCAAGTTCTGGATTAAACATGTCTTTCCATATGGGGTACCTTATGGCTATGATTACTATGTAGCAGACTGGTTACTTGGACCCGATGTGTTCTGCTGGATGCCGGTCTGTCACGTAGCAGAATCGTTTCATAATACAATACTCAAGCTAAAACCTTACAGCCTGGAAGACATGGAGGTAGTCAGAGAAAGACTCGTAGATGTTAATAGAACATTCGCTCAATATGTCGAGAATATGAAAATGGGAATCAAGATTGGAATGGTCCGGAATGTCGAAGGGTGCAAAGCAGGACTTGATGGAATTAAGGACCAATACCTTGAGATTTCACTACATGGGAAGCAAGGTAAGAAGTCATAATCGTCCCAGTTCACTAGGACCTTTTTTTTAACATGGACATTCATCCTGTATTATTAATATTTAAAAGTGTTTTTTAAAGATTAGTACTTTTTCGTGATTGTATATAATGACATTGATCACATGAAGCAGAACAGTCTGTCTGCCATTCGGTCCCTTGGGCTGCCATCTCTGCACAACACAGGAAATCATTTTTCATCACTGACACGCAACTGATTGATGGTATTGAAAACCTATCAGCATGCATGACTGTGGGTTAGATAACCATGTAGTTTCACTACACATGTCAAAACCCTGCAAAGAATCCTGACAGCGAGGCAATAAAATGAGCTGCTTTGGTTCTTTCCAGCTCACTAAGATCATCCCAGTTCAGTAGCCACTAACAAAGTCTTGCATGGAAAGAACACATTTTTAGAACAGTATCCAGTGATCTAATTATTTCCGAACATCGACAAAATGAATACATGTTAGAATATTGCATGGGGTTCTCTGCCATTAAGAGAAGCCGGGGAAGACTAGTTTTAAAGCAATCTTCACCATGTAGAATATTCTGTGTCGGTATACCACACGCAACACTCTCGGTTACGACAGATTTAGAAAACGATTTCAATCAACTTCAAGATCACCCATCCATTTATTCATTCGCTCATTCATCCATGTCTTTCATTGATTCAGTCAAGTAGAATAATCCAATACATATGTTTATCATAATGGTCATGTGATCAGGGCCCGAGTTGCATATCTCAATAATGTTGTTTTTGCACGTATCTTGGATTTGATTTCACTTAACCCGATTATTATTAATACATATTAACATCTACGGTGGTTAACTGCGGTCCAGTTATCAGTCTGGACGGATCAGCTTGTTAAATACTTAATTCTCTAAAATCCTTCACAGAATTAAGAGGTTATCAGTACGATTAGCACTTAATAGGAAGACTTCACCTTAACAACCTTCCTACGCATCACCAGCTTGATTTTTGACTCTAATTCTATACTATGGTTGGGCTTCCTGTGGAAGAAGAGATATTTTTTCCAATTTCTCTCGGGTTGAATGGACACAGGAATCCCATTAAGAAATTTTAAGACTGTGCGTCGTGTTATAGCGTTTACATTTAACATGTGAAAACCTTTTTAGGGGTACTCAACTGTACTAAATTACTTCCAAAAAACTTTTTCGACGAATTCTTGTCTGAGGTGGAAGGAAAACCAGAAGTGCTGGAATCATGGCAGAAGAAATACGGGAAAAGTATGAACGGTTCTTTGAAAGAATATCTGGTCCAGTATGTTGGGAAACCTATCGCTGACATGTTCAGGTAAGGACAGAACAATGGCTTCCATGCGCGCATAACCCATCGCTGACATGTTCAGGTAAGGACAGAACAATGGCTTCCACTCTGATCCAATCACAGTGCGCATAGAAGCCATTTGAGAGCAGCGGTAGGAATGGAAAACATGGAAGTGAGATATCATTAGCATGTTGACTTGAAGCGTTCATGAAGTGAGAATAAAAGATGGTATTTTGAAAATGATATCTTCTGTTGTGGGTAACTGTTTTGTGGTCCTTGATCCCTGGTTGTAATGGACTAGAGACGTTTTGTTCAGGAATAAAGAACCCTTCCCAAAATTTGTCCCCAGAACTGATGACCCGAAAACTGAGCTTGTTCTAAGTCGCGCGTTGCTAGAAAATTGTTTACTGTGATGTTGTTTGTCTTAATCCGCTGGATGCGTCTCCAATTCACTAATGTTGGTTATTTTCAACACAGATATCTTGAAGTAGATTACAGCCAGTATTGTCCTCCAGGGGACGTATTGACCGGCTACAGCAACCTTCCACTGAGTCATGTCTACAAAAATGGCACAAAGATTGGACGAACAACTCAACGCCTGCCAACTGGCGAGTTGATTGATGGAAAAAAGTCTTTCAGGGTCATCTTGGATTACTTCACAACAATTGACATCTCACCAAAAGAAACTAATAACATTGGATACTCTCTCATTAAAGAAGTTTATCCTAAGGTACGTCATCTATATGCTAAATGCATTATGATCATTTTCTATTAAATATGCGCAATGCAACAGTGATGTGATGATGGTTCATATTGATGTTGATGATGATGATGATGATGCATGATGACGGTGATACATGATGACGGTGATGGATGATGACGACGATCACGATGTTGATAAAGTTGTTAATTTTCATAATGAGTATGATGCATGATGATGATTATAATGATGCATTGGTTGTAACGTAACTCCTCGCTGTAGATTCTTCAGATTGCAAGAGAAGTAACTGAAGAGAAGGATAATGAGACTGCTGCTGAAGAAAAGTTCAAAAAGAGAATCAATGAAGATGACATGTATTTCAACGAAGAAGAGATACCAGCTTCTGAATCCGATGAACGAGCACATAAACTGTGCAGAACAGATGAAGGTGCAAAGAAGCACTGTCCTGTGCGATGGAAAGCCATTCAAAACTGGTTCACGTATTCACGACAGGTAAGGCATAGTAGACGTAAGAATGAAGTAAGGTATGGTATTTTAATTCAACCCATGTGAAACTATGAGAAGTTGCACATGTGCTTTGCATCAGGGAACGAAATTTCAAAACCGTGAAACTTGTGAAGAAGTGCTTTCGTTGGGACAACCCTATCTGTACTTGCACTACTTGGCTAAGCTTTGCTGTAGCAGTATGCTGATTCCAATAAGTTCTCCCTAAACATTTTATATTCACCGTACCAACTGTTGTAAAAAACATTTCAAGTTTTTTGGGTGCCAGTGTCACTTTGTACTTACTTCATATCTTGACATATATATTGCAGGTAATGGCAGCTTTAGATGCCAAGTCGATAAGTCTATTTCATTTCGCTGGGAAGAAGCACACGACTCCAAATTGTCCGGTTCGATTAACAGCAGATTATAATCCATCTAGTGCCGCTCAAGCATACGAACCCAGCAATGATGTCTGCTCCGATGCAGCTATGTATAGCATTCCGTTTTTTCAAAAGAAACCAGGCCCAAAGTACGAGGAATGGACTGTGTGCGCCCACGAAACAAGGCCAGGGCATCACCTTCAAGTAAGCATGCGCAATACGCCTATTATGACTGGGCGGAAACCGGAGCGAAGGATTGAAAGTATAAGCATGACGATATATTCATAATTTATGCATTTTTTTATCATTTCAAGGCCCAAGGTTTTAGCGAACGCTTCTCAGCAGCAGATAACGGGATCATGAAATCTCTGTCATCATTTATGTATTTCCTTGGGTTTCAAGAAGGTTGGGCTCTGTACGCTGAGGATCCTTTGATTGCTACAGATACAGATACCTACAAGGATTTCCCATTCAGAAGATACGGAACCTTAAAATGGCAGGTAAACAGTATATCAGGAGTCATTTGTCTGGATTTGTCTCCACTAAAACTCAAAAAAGTCGTCGCCCAATTTGAATTTACACTGGAAAATGATTTGAACTGCAATTTAACTGTAACTAGATTTCTTTTCATCATTATTTCTTTGTATATCACTATAACTTTGTCAACCACATTTGTTTATTCTTATATCAGGTACTTCAGGCAATAAGATTGATAGCTGACTCAGCATTTCATGACATTGGAAACTTCAGCCGTGAAGATGCTTTGAAACTGATAGAGAAGTATGCGTGGGAAACAGGGGATTTCCCACAAAAGGAAATCACGCGATACCAAAGTCTACCTGGACAAGCTACAGCTTACGTTGTTGGGAAATTACGAATTATGAAGCTTAGAAAACTTGCCGAAAAACGACTAGGCGAAAAGTTCAACCTGAAAGACTTTCATTTTCAACTTCTTCAACACGGACCTTCACCGTTTAGTTTCTTAGAGGAGATGATTACCTTGTATATTGACTGTGTGCTTGGTTCAAGAGTAGAAGGCTGCCAAGAGATATTAAACCCACCGAAGACAAGCAAGAAAATACATTCCACGGAACAAATGCCCATAGAAGACACGAATGCAAGGCTCAGCTATTTTAGAAGACGGTGAAACCAAGCAACTGAATTAATTGATTTTCAACAGAAAAAATATATATGCACAACGACAGCACTGAAGATCTTCAAAAGACGCTGTGAAAATGGCTGTGAATAGATGGTTTTAAATGATTGCATTCATAACTGAATGCGTTTGAGCAAGAAATCCAACATGGTTATCGATTGGCCAGATTGAGACCAGTTCCGTACGCGATCAATACGAGTTATAGTTAGACGAGGCCACTGTTTGGATCACACGACTAACTGTTACAGTACAACATATTGAAATCTGGCAAAACATTAAGGAGCTTAAGCGTCGATGTCAAATACCGGGTTATGGATTACAGTTTTATATCTATAACATTGCCATCTTACCTACAGTAGAATTAAGTGATCCTACCACCTCTTGGTCTTCTGTCCTACAGTATCAGTTTTTTCTTGTCAATACAATACAAGGAAAAGCTTTATCAAGATCTATTATTAGTATATTCGTACAAGGGAAGGAGGGGAGGGAGGGGAGGGAGGGGAAGGGATAGATATACTAAATCGGGAGGGGACGGGAAGATTGTACTTATAGTAGAAAGACAAAATAGTAAGTAAGAAGTAGTTTAGAGAGTGTGCTATGATGAAATGTTATTCAGACATTTTCCATTCAATGCAGAAACACGAAACAAGCTCAAAACATCAGTGAGTATTGACAAATGTATTTATTAATAATCACCAACTATTGCAACCATATTGTATCAACATTTTAAGAGGGGTTTTGTTATAATGGGATTTAACTCCGGACAAGATAACAGGCCAGATAGAGTCGAGCTACCCAAGAACAGACATTCAAATGGACCGATTAACTCTTGGTATATTATCTTGAAAAATTTTGCCAAAAGTGAATTAAACGCAAGATTTTTAATTGACTTTTGCAAGCCTTCTAGTTATAGACAGTATAGTCTGTCCGACCCGGCAGTTGTTGTTCAGAAAAACCATGAGATAGTGTAATATACTGCAAATGCTAACCGGAAAAATCTGTTATTAAAAATATGGGATTTATTTAACGTCTTTGATTGAACTTGCTTACAGTACGGCTGCATCACACTATATTGGGACGCAAGTCCTGTATCCTCCTCCTGTCACGTTTTATCATAATAACCTACTTCTTCTTTTTTTTTTTTTTTTTTTTTTTTTTTTTTTTTTTTTTTCCCTCCCCTTTTTATCTCTACATAACTATGTTTAGTTCACTTAATTTATTAGATAACATATTGTACCTCAGGTTGTAAATAGTGACGAATAAACTAAATTAAACTAAACTAAACTAAACTATAGAAAGCACGTGCCAATGTCGTGTCCGAGCGATGTGATTGGATAAACAGTAGCTTCGAGCGCACTTAAAGTTTTTTGAACGCCTATTATTTGATGCGGATTACCTGGATCTAGTTTTAAACTATACAAAAAATAAAGCACAAAGATAAAGAAAAAAATATTTTTAAATCTCCGAATCTCGAGGCGCAGAGAATTTTTCATTTTATTTCGAACTTAGGAAACTATTCTTGAACATTCCTTTATTTGTAATTAGCGCGCGCTAATTAAAATTGATTTCAATTATTTCAAATTTAATTGGAAAATTGCCTACGTAAGCAATAGTTGATTGGCAGATAAGCTCGTTGGATGATGAGCGCGCTTCGAGAGAAAGAGTTAGAACTTTCAAGCGTTAGAAAAAAATTTAAGCAAGAAGTGAAGAACAAAATTTCATCAGCGTCAAAAGTAAGATAAGCTAAAGCCAGCAGGTAATTGCTGTGCGTGAAGCATGGCATCCGTGGTACATGCAAAGAAGTACATCAAGCCACATGCCGGCGTGATTACATCAGCAGTAGAAACTCACTGTAGACCTACCAAGATACCGGTCTGGACTGGCTATACAAGTAGATCAAGCAGTGAGGATTCAGATGAACAAACATCAAGAATCAAGTCATCTGAAATACGCCGGTCATTAACAGCATCCAGACTTCCTGTCAAATTTGACGTCGTCCCCGGAAGTAAAGTGGATGTTAAAGACATGCGCACTAGTGATGTGGTGCGACCAAGATCAGAAAGACAAAGAGAGATAAAGGAGTGTCTCAGTATAAACCAAGCCCGATGTAACGAGGCAATTGAACAGGGATTAAAACAGGTTCTCCCTGGTATCATGAAGCAACTGCTTGTGCAAGGAGTTGGAAAAAAGGACGAGAGCTTACCTAAGGGAAGAAAGCAGAGCAAGCCAAGGAATAACGGTAGCAACCGCAAGATGTCAGCTCTAAACATCTCTGTACCTCGCAAAACCAGTACGCACAGAAAACTGCCTGGGAAGGTAAAGATATATGAATTGATGTTAGTAAAGAAGAATAAAATGTGTTTGTAGGTATAAGAAATCGAGGATACTATTACTGATATTCTAGGATCGATAGATAGATGAATGGATGAATTTATGTATAGCAGGATCGGTAAATGGATGGCAGATAAAAGGATATAATGGTAGATGTAGAGAAGGGGGAGTGGGAGGGAAGAAAGCACAGACAAGAGAAGGAAAAATGGAAAAACTGAACTTTTGAGGGGAGTAGGAGGAGGAAAGAAGGGAAAGGGAGAAGGAAGGGAGAGGGAAGGGAGAAGGAAGGGAGAGGGAAGGGAGAGGGAAGGATGAGGGAAGGGAGAGGGAAGGGAGTAAAGAAGGACGGTTGGATGTTCAAAGGGTTAGGGAAGGAGAGAGTGAAGGATGAGTAGGTGGATGAATGAGTAAGTGGGCGATGGGGGATAGATTTATAGATAGATTTATCGATGATAAATGACTGGACAAAGGATGATAACAAAGAAGGTGGGATGTATGGATAAGTGGACCGAATGATGAATGGATGGATGGGAAGGAAAAACGGGTGAATAAGAAAGAGAAAGAAGACTGAAAAGAAATGAAGAAAGGAAGGGAGGGAGGATGGGAAAGAGGGAAGGGAGTAATTTTAGAATTATTATTTTTAAATTACAAACTAACTTTCTGTGTTTTAATCTCAGTTTTTACTTCAAATTAATTTTCGGCCACATGTAAAAACATATTCCACATTTGAATAGCTGTAGTTTTGATAGACATTTTTTAAAAGTTCTAAGTGGATAATTGGTTTTTAATCATAAAACTTAATCTTTTCTAATTGGTTATTTGATGACTTAAGAAAGAAACCTGATTGGCTAATACGTTGCTAATGACCAGCGGTCTTACAAAAGCTAGGCTCAAGAATAATGACGATTGAAATTCGCTTTTAGATGGAGTTTTAGGTAGAATTTCAGAAAAATCATTTTCTGGGGTATTTTCCGTTATACTATTTTTGTTATGTTGAGTTGTAATTGGTTAGTAAGCTCCGCTCGTTTCGTCTTTTTCCCTTTAAAACGTCCAAAATATATCGCTTGTTTTACTGAGATTAGTCTATTTCTAAATTCTGATATTAATATTTTTATTAACTTGTAAAGCGCCAATATCAATATACAATTTTATTGGCTGATCCGATGTTTGTACGATGTTTTAACTTAAAACAATGTATGTCATGTGCCAATCATTCTCCTTTCCCATCCTTCTTTCTTTCCAACTATCTTTCATTTATTCATTCATTTCCGTATCAATTTTAGCTACGTACGTCTGACAGTTCCATAAGTGGAAACAGCATTAAAACTGGTAATCACAAGACTGATTCAGATGGTTTTTCCAACTCTGAGCCAGAGAGCGTCCCTAACAAGGTTCAGAGCGAGTCAGAAAAATTGTCAGATGAAAAAGAAAAACCAAAAAACGAGTATGTTTTAGAGAACTTCGCTCTCTCTGAACCATTGGTCGTCCCCCAAACGGTACAGAGTGGAGTGTCCGACAGAGCAGACAAAGCAGGCGATTCTCTGAATGAATACATTCTAAAATATGAGACTGATTCAGATTGGCTGACCGACATCGACCTAGAAAGCATAATCAAACAGGTTCAGAGCGAAGAAGAAGATATGTCAGATAGAGAAGATAGCGCAGACGATTCCTTAATCAAAGAAACTAGTCTAACACACAACCATAAGACTGATCCAGATAGGTTGACCATCTCTGACGTTGAAAGTCTCCCAAAACAAGCACACAGTGAGGATGATGATGCGTCAGACAGAGCATACAGAGCATACGAACCTGATTCAAATTGGCTGAATGAGTTTGACCTAGATATAAAAGACATTATCAAACAGGAACAAAGCGAAGATGATCTAGATGTGTCAGATAGTCAAAAGAAAGCAGTCAAAGTTGAAGATCCCTTCAGTACTGAGTGTAATATAACATACGAGAGTGATTCAGATGCATTGTCCAAATCTGAACTGGGAAACCTCTCACAACAGGCACATAGCGAGGATCAAGATGTGCCATATTGTAGAGAGAAAAAAGGTAAAGCCTTTTCTGATGGAGAAGATTCCTTGAGTTCATACTCTAATCTAAGATACGAGGCTGATTCAAAAAGGTTTTCCGACTGTGACATGGAAATCCTCCCAAAACAGTTTGATAGCGAGTCAGAAGATAATCCTTTGGGTGACTTCACACATGAATATAACTACGACGCTGATGTAGATGGAGTAACTGATTCTGAACCAGAAAGTGTCCCCAAGCAGGTTCAGATGGAGTCAGATTTCACCGATGAAGAAGAAGGAACAGCTGACAAGCCTAATGATTCTCCTAGTCATACAAGACTCGAGCTAAGTTTTAAATCTGAATCCAAGAACCTTCCACAGCAGGCTCACAAAGAAAAAGAGGCTTTGTCTGATGACGAAGCAAAAGAATCAAGTCACACATTAAGGTTGCAGAATCTTGAATCCAAGTTTGAAGCTGTTTTAGACGACTTAGCCTCTCCCAGTGGCTCTGACCCTGAATGCAACATCAAGAATATCAGAAGTAACCATAGAGGTGAGTTTCATGAAGAGGAAGGATGGGTACCTTCAGAAAGTGAGAGCAGTATCGGGTCAAAACTTCGCAGATTCAGTATTGAACTTGAGACAGATGAACTATTTAGCACTGACTCTGAAAAAGGACGCGTCCCCACAGAGGCAGAATTGAAAATTCTATCTGAAGATGAAGATTATGCCATAAAAGTCACCAAAGATACTGAACTAACACTTCCTTCTAATGTCGAGAAGGTCAAGGTAAGTGGAGAAAACTTCTACTTTTGTTTTTTCAATTGTTAAATGAATGACTCAGTCATGTCCAGACGAGACCTCCTTGCCTATCCTATCTTTGAACATCATTTCTATCAAGATAAATGTTAGGCAAACAAATAATAACGTGCTAACATGCTTTGAATTCTATTGCTTTGTCTTAATTATTTTGTTGCTTATTTTAAATTGTGTATGTTAAGGACAATCAATCATGGGAAGAAAGATATACCCCATCATCAGGACCAGCAGATTCGACACATGACACCCATACTGAACTAAATAGAGAGGGGTTAGTCACGGCTGCAAACGAAACAAGAGAGAAGCAAGAAGGAAGAAGCTGCAACGAGACTTCTGGAACTGATGACGTGAACCAGTCGAGTAGAGGTGGAGAAGGAAGTAGTGAAGGGCAGGAGGGTGCCAACACTAGACAAGGTAGCACTGCAGGGGGATCTGGAGGGGATGATCCAAATGACCCGAAAAAACCTAAACCTCGTAAAGGACCCGAGGACAAGAAAGATAGAGATGAAGAACAGGAAAGACGTAAAGCTGCGAAGAGAGCATTGATAGATCAAATGATGAGAATCGCGAGTAATCTTCTCCAGAACAAGGGTAAACAACAAGAGGTAAAAACACCAACCCAGATACTCACCAACATCAACCCTGTGGCTGAAACAGCTGCTTTGTTTGAAGAAAAGGCTTCGCAGACAAACGAAAAGGAAAGCGTTGAAACTCTACAAAAAACCATTCAATCAAAAGACAGGGAAATTGTGTTGCTACAGAATCTAGTGGATTGTTGCCGCAAGGATTATGAAGAACTCCAAGAGAGTTTCAACGGATACATAGACGAATTTACAGAAGTCGATCAACTTAGGGATATGATTAGCGCCATGTACACCGACAACAGCATCCTAAGACATGACAATCAAAAGCTCAAGAATCAGCTATACCACAAAACTGAAGAGGCTGCACGAGCTTATGATAAAAACAAAAAGTACAAGAATAACATCTCTAAAATGGAAATTGATCTTGACTCCTTGAAATCAGAAAACCAAGAGTTATCCAAGAAACTAAAAAGCTATGCAGCGACACCACTATGTGACGGACAAAAAGATGAAACTGATAAAGAACAGGAGAGTGGGCTGGGTAAAACATGCAGTCTTCAAGACGTAGAGGCCATGAAGGCTGAGGAGGAAAACCAAGCATTGAAAAGAAAACTGGAACAATTTGAAGTTTCTCTCAAGGCACAAAAGAAGGGAAATACGGAATTGAAGGAAAAACTCGCCCAGCAAAAACTGGCTCAAAAGCAGCTTGAATCAAAGATACAAAAACTAGCTGAGGAGAACCAGACCCTTAGCACCAAGTGTAGTCGATTCCAAAAGGACTGCAGCGAGATATCAGTGGAGGAGATTGTCAAGGACTTAAGAAGATTGCATGAAGAGATTTCAGAAGCAAGAAAAGACCTAGCAAGTGACAACACTGTAGATAACTCTAACCTGAAAGGGCCGACCTTAAGTCCTTTGTCCATTGAACTCGCCGAAGCTGATGACTGTAGCCCACAACACCAGCCTGATGTGAATCCAGGTGTTGAGCTGCACACATTGACGTATTCACTTACAGCCCTGACAGAAGAGCTTAGAGAACAGATCGCTAAAAGCAAAGTCCGACTGACCAGGTCCTACTCTGATAACAATTACAGTGAACTCGAACAAAGAAGTAACGAGAAAATGAGAGAGCTGAATGAAGAGATAGCTGGACTACACGACAAGTTGGATGAAGATGCCGAAAAGTTTAAGCACTTGGAGGGCCTGTTGACCAGTTCGTATACAGAAAGCGATAGAATGAACGAATGGATTATCGAGCTGCAGCAAGAATTATCCAACTCCAAAGAAATGCTAAATCAGACAGTTGTAGAAAACGATCAAAAGCTGGACGAACTTAAAAGTGCTATGGAAATGAAAGACCAAAAACTTGAGGGGATGATGATCCAGCATCAAAACCTTCTAGAAGCTAACGACGCCCTGAGAGGTGTAATACATACACTTAATATGAACGGCGCTACAAGCTCCAGCAAGATCATTGAACTAGAAAATTACCTTGAAGAATTAGAGTCCGAAAATGAAAAGCTTTTCAAACAACTTTGTGAACAAAAAACAATTCTGCATAAAATCCAAAGAGAAAGTGAAGAAAGACAGGTTTTCTCGAGCGAAGATGTTGAGCAGTTACATTACGCTCTGCAAAATAAAGCCGATTCATTGGTGGATATTCTGGACACTGTCAATCAAATGGCTGCTAATCATCCGGGATATCATGACCACCCGTGTATTTCAGCTATTGAAAATGGTCTACAACTGGTATATGATGTGATAGGTTTGCTTAAAGCTGTTGGTCATGCATACATGCCAAGTAGCGAGAGTTACGTTCGTGAGGAGAGTGTGCGCGAACCCTTGCAGGAAGAAACGCGCGAACAAGAGCTTGAGGTCATGGTGGAAAACCTACAAGAAGAAAATAAGAAACTCCAAGAAAACATGCAAAGGTATCTTGAGAACAATGAAGAAAATCGAACTGGGCGTCCTGGAGAAATCAATATGCTGTTCATGGAATCTATAACAGATCCGTTAAGGGACGAAGAATGTAGATTGGACAAAATGGACGACGAGGTAGGAGGCAGGGAGGCAAACCTTGTTCAAAAGAGCTCATCAGAAATTATAGACCAATTGGAAAAACAATTCCACGATCGACAGGATTCCGAAATTGAGCTGCAACAGAAAGCAAACACTTTAAGGCTGCAAATCGAACAACTTAAGGCAGAGAAAAGTAAAGATGATACGAAATACCAGGCATTAATGAACTCTATTGATGCTAAGCAGAATAGCCTAGAGGAACAGCGAATGAAAGAAGAACAGTTGTTGATGGAAAAGCTTTCTGGCATGGAAATTGCTATTTCGGAAATGCAGAAAGAAAAGCAGAATGCAGAACAAAAAGCTCAGGATGAAATCAATCTGATAAGACAAGAGTCACAGGAGAAGGTTACAGCCTTGGAGAAAAGCTTGAAAGAACGCAGAGATTCAGAAACCATGCTAGAAAACAAAATGTTTTCCCTTGAAGCTAGGATTTCACAACTGAATGCTGAAAAAGCCGAACGAGAAGAAAACATCAAAACGATGTGGGAGGCCTTGAATGCAAGAAAGAACCTAGAACAACATCTGCGAGAGAAGCAAGATGTAGAAAAGCAACTCGTGAAGAAGGTGGAAAATCTAAATCTTAAAATATCTCGTGTAAGAACTGCAAAGAAGTCCTTGCGAAGAGAGTTGGCAAAGATGCATTTAGACAATCACATGAATTCCATAGAAATTAGAAATCAGCTTCAGAAACTCAAAAAAGAGCTTGTTGAGTGTACTGAACGAGAGAAAGTACTGCATGACAGGATTAAAAAGCTGACAGAGGAGAGAGACAAGGCAGAAAGCATGATGGAAGCCCAGGCGACGTTGATCAAGGAAAGCTCAGAGGAGAAGATGGAAGATCTAGAAGAACTACTGAGAAAAAAGAGTCACTCTGAGATGGAACTGCAAGAACAGAAAACATCCCTGGAGCGAGAGCTCAAGCGGCTAGAGAAAGAGAAAAATGAACATACTATAATGATATCTGCAATACTGAGAGCCGTGAAAGCCAAGCAAAATCTCGCTAAGGCTGTCAAAGATAAGTGCAAAACAGAGAAGGATTACAAAGCCAAGCTTGATGAAATAGAAATGGTAATAAACAAGTTGAAGACAGAAAAGAGCAAGCCAAACTGTGACGTGGGTTTAAAGGAAAAGTACAAAGAAAAGTATTTTGAACTACGTAGAATTGTAAGGAAACTTGAAGATGACCTGAATAGTCATAACAAACGCGTAGAGGAGCTTCAAACTGTTGTTCTTACAGCTGTTGAAGACGAAGACAAATTAGGAAAAGCGCGTGAGTCAAATTTGCAACGGAGTATCGCGACACTAAAGGATACACTCAGGGATAACCACGCGTGTGAAATCAAGCTTTACAAAACCCTACAGACAGTAAACTCCAAGATTTTAGTCTTAGAAAATGAGAAAGCTGAGGGTGAAAAAATGATGAAAGGCCTGTTAAGGTGTATAGGGGGTGGAGAAACATCCCATCAAAGTCCCTCAGCTTCAAATACAGACAAAGCCTTTCTAAGACTGATAGGTGAAGTTATCGAAGGTGTACACAGGCTTAGACAAGTCAAGCAAAGAGTTGAAGAAGATCTCGAAAATTTCGAAAAAATGGTAGCAACAGCAAGAAGCGAGAATGAAATGCTACAGAACCAGTCTTTTGAACGAATCTCAGGATTAGAGCTGTCATTAAAGGAAAAATATATATCAGAGACAGAACTACAAGAGCGATTGAGGTCGATGGAAAAGAAGGTTGCTAATTTGGAAAATGAAAAACACAATGCAGACATGGCCATCCAGGCTATGTTGGAGTCTCTGAAATCTAAAGATGAACTCGAGAAGCTTCTGAAACAAAAGAAAGACATCGAAAATAAACTGAAACAAGAAGTATTAGGGCTGGAACAAGAGAAAAAACAGAATGACATGAAAGTGAAATTTCTTCAGCAGCAAGTTCATGACATGGAGGAATGCTTTAAAGAGAAAACAACTGATACTTCAAGCAATTTGGCACAACACATACAGATGTTCAACACAAACCTTTCAACGGCAAAGAACGGCAGCAACAACTATGAGGAGGAGATGGAAAAATACAACAAAATCTTCAAGGTAAGTTTTTAAATATAATTAGTTACAATTTTTCCAAAATACTGGATTCTGAAACACTCACATTTAACTTCCAGATAAAACTTTAATGTTATAAGTGTTTTTGTCGGGTGATCGAACTCACGGCCTCCACATAACAGGTCGATATCTGAGAAGCCAAATAAATGGGCGCAGTTCACCTGATGGTGCTGGAAAAAGCGCCATAACAGAACAAATGACTTTGCTGTAACAATTCCCTTGTCAAGATTTTAGTGGGATGATGTCGTCTTATGGGAATAATGACATGTTATAATTCTTTTTTTTTTATGTTAAGCCTGAGACGTCAGATGGAGCATCGGGTCTGCACACGATCAAACAAGTCACACAAACATTCCAACAACAAAACCATCTTGAAGAGGAACTCCGACAAGTGATTACAACATTGACAGAACAGAACAAAGAACTCCAAGAAGAGAAAACAGCTTACATTGAAGAGAACAGGAACGTTGTGAAGTGCTTAAATAACCTGAACCTAGAGCTAGAAACTGCTAATCGCGAAAGACAGAAATTGTTAGCTGAAGTTACTGAACTCAAGTCTGACAGCTCGTTTGCAGCAAGAAACTCGCGCAAACTGATTGAGGAACTGACGAGAAGAGAGAAGGAGCTGTTGGAAAAAATAGATGAAATGAAGGCATCTTTGAAGATCATGGAAGGTAATAGGTTATGATAACTAGGGGTTAAGATAACAGGGTTTTTTAAAAGCGTTAGATAAATACATAACAACCTAACTACTGGTTTCCCACACATGTCATTCATTTTCTTAAAGAGCGCAGCCAAGAAATGATGGAGTTGAAGATTAAGATCGCAGAGCTGGAGAATAGAAATTACGAACACAGTGCAAAGAACAAAAAACAATACCATGATCAGATGTCTGAATCCAGGATAGCTAAAGCCAAGATACAAGATCTTAATCTCCACTTACAGCAGATAATACAGTTTGAGGAACACCTCAAGAGTGATATCGACTTCTTGAATGCAAAGGTTACGGAGATGAGTGTACAGATTAGAAACGAAAAGATGAAAAATGCTGAAATAGAAAAACTGTATAGCATGACCAAGAATCGAATAACTGAGCTTGAGCAGAGGATTGCATGTAAACAGGAACAGATTGACAATCTCAGGAAGAGCAATGAAGAACTACGGGGACAAGTTGTTTGCTTACACGAGGAGAAAGACAATCTTTCTAGTGCTTTAGATGATAACTACCACTTGAGATTAGAGCAAAGAGACATCCAGATTAAGCAACTCAAAAATAAGTTAGAAGAACAGGAAGAAAAGATCAGAGAAAGCGCAAGACGACAGGATGATTTGACGCAGCACCAAACACAGATGTTTATGGGTACGAGAGGATGTTTTTCTGGTGACGTGAACGTTTTGCGTGAAAATGATGACCAGCGAAATACCACCAAGGTATAGATTGTTAGACTGGTTGTTGTTAGTTATCAGGATATAGACTAGGATAAAGGTTCTGGACCCTTTGCTTATTACTTATTGTACATGTTTTAGGYAATCATGGATTCCCTAGATGACACTGAAAGAAGAATCGGGAAGCTCAAGTCAAGCTGGAAATACTTCGAGGAGCAACAGAAAAGATCGTTATTAAGCACCAGTATTGACAGTGTCAACAGAAACACTAYTGCCTGCAACAGCAGTTATTATCGGCCATCATTTGGCTGCAGTACGACACTAGTCTAACACTATCAAGTAAGTACCCTCCAATGATCTTGATTTTACATGATTGTTTGCGAAGCGCGCCCCACATCAAGTTCTTTGCAGTGACCGCATTGAATGAAGTTAGCTGCGCGCAGGACCTTTGATGTGCGCATGTGCAGCGCCGTCCACTTTTAATGTTGAGGTTTTTAATCACCACTTTTGCGCATGGCGGATGAACACTAGTTAAAAGACGCTTTGAGCAACAGACGCTCCATGTCGATTACACCTTACTGTGTCATTGATTATCCAATCGTAATGCATGGTTTCTACACGATACGTTGTGCTTGTCCATGTTTAATGGGTGTCAACCTTTGGCGGAAATACCTAAAAACGGGATGCCGAATCCAAGAATCATTTCCGCGTGAAATGTTATGGTACATCAACTTCTCGCGCAACATCAGATGCCTCGCCCTGTCATCCTATTGATACATTTTTTTCATTTTTTTAATAGGTTGCAAAAAAATATTATTACTATACTATTTACAAAAACACGATGACAACCGAAACGAAAATTTCTTAGAACAGATATTTAGCTCTCTTATGAAGGGACGCATAACAGAGCTGAAAGACATCTTCAAATACACAAGAAAAAACGATTAAACTACAGGACAAGTCCTCTACCTTCACGAACAGGTCTCAACAAGCTCTCTTATGAAGGGACGCATAACAGAGATGAAAGACACCTTCAAATACACAAGAAAAAACTATTAAACTACAGGACAAGTTCTTCACCTTCACAAACAGGTCTCAACAAGCTCTATTATGAAGGGACGCATAACAGAGCTGAAAGACACTTAAATACACAAGAAAAAAACGATTAAACTACAGGACAAGTTCTTCACCTTCACAAACAGGTCTCAACAAGCTCTCTTATGAAAGGACGCATAACTGAGCTCAAAGATACCTTCAAATACACAAGAAAGGATGAAAGGATGCTGAGAGACAATAGAAGCGAAGAACTACAGGTCCAGATAATCTTACTAACACCAGTATCTACACTCGGCAGTATACACCACCAGCTGATACAGTATGTAATAGCATAACTATAAGATGTTCAGTACTCGTGCTACTGGTCAAGGTATCTCTTAATAAAAGTGTAAATTAGTAATAATATGCAATAAAGTAAAGTAAAATAAAGTAAAAATCAACATGTGAGTTGAGCGTTGTGTGCATAGAATATTAAATGTAGTGGTAGTGCGTGTGAGCGAAAAGTGTCCCCAATTAGTGCGAAAGCGCTAGAACGACTAGACACTTAAATAAAGTGATTTATTTTATTTTTATTTTATGCAAAAATGGCACTTCTGGTCACAACCGTTTTACTTCCGGTTGATGTTCACATCATTTCTACTTCAGGTGTTTAGTGTTTTGACAACAAGGTTTCTATTTTACGTTAATTCTGTCATTGACACTATTATTTTTCTTTGGTTGTAGGTGAGAAGTTATCAACTGGTTAGCTTATTTTTAAGATTATGGAAATAATCATTATGTACTAAAGATAAATCCTACTATCATATACGAAAACAATATTTTAAAAAAACATATCCTCGCTCGATAATCATAGATATTTTTCTACTGTAAAGAAACAGTCAGGCATAATTTTTCAAATGAAAAGAAAAAAAAAATCGCTTCAACAATCAGACATAATACTATTTTCTTTTGGAAAGACACATAATCTCGTAACCGTCAGAAACCAAGTCTGCTGTACTTCTCTAATCAACTGATATTTGCCAATCATCAAAGTATTTTGGTGTTTACGTTTGTTGGCACCCTAACTGAAAGAATCCTGGAACATAAGTATGTAATAATGAACTAAATAAAATGTGTCTTCAAAAATCGAACTTGAGTTGATTATTTATATATATTTAAGCATAGTTCAAACATTTTAACTGCATTCATATTTAATACATTGTCCCATTTGTTTCTAGTGCATCCCTTTGACCTCCTGCAGCGTATCCATTACTCAATATGAATCCTACCTTGTTTATCCCGTAGCTAAATTAAGGCATGAGATATCGAAAGCAACCTCGTTTAGTCGTACAGATTGTCCATTTGTGAAGATGATCTTAATCCTTTAGCAAACGAGTTCACGATTTCACCCGCATTTGAAGGAAAACTGCGGGCAAACTATGTAGAACTACTGTGCCAAGCGGTAAGTGCTTGATTCCGGTTGAAATAAAGACCCATTCCCGAGGAAATATCAATAATTCATCGTTTATGTGCTGTTTTACCGGCTCCTCGTAAAAAAATGTTTCCCTCGCCATTTTGTAAACCCGTTCAAGGTGATACAATAATTTACATACAATACAATACAATTAATACAATACATTTTTCATTTGCAAACATGATAGAGTACAAACACTAAAAGTGTGCAACACTTTGCACTATTTAGTAGTAAATAGTGCTAATTAAAAAATAGAAAACAATAGGATTAGCATTATTCAGCAGTATTTAGTGGTATTTATGTTRCACACTTATAGTGTTTGTACTCTACAATTCAAGTTAGATATTATTTCACCTAAATTACAATGTATAGGATTAGTTTTTGTATAATGTAAAACAATTTTATTTGTAATTTTTTTCATTTTTGAATGCCTAGAGGCTAAATTAACTAAAAGTTTTCGTTTTGCTACATCACTAATCGTTTGTTTTCCTAGGTTTGTTCTGAATTTTTGTTTGTAAAGATTTTTATTTGAAGCATACCTACTATTATAACTGTGTTTGTTTTTTGCGAAAGCGAAGTAATTGTCAAAAATAGATGGTAGCTGATTTGTTTGCCATTGGTGGATAAATCTTAAAGAATTCATTTTGAAAATATTTTCGACTGTCAGCAAATCTAAGAGGTTAATAAAAGGTAAAAGCGTTTTCGGTGTTTTTACCGTAGAGCGTTGCAAAGAATAGTATCCTTGATATGTGATTTTGCTTGACTTGTATCTTTTTTACATACGGCAAACCACAGGAAACCCAAACGACTGTTCTGATCTGATGACAAGACAGGAAGAAGCCTTGTGCTTTCTTTGTAATGAGAAAAAATGCCAAAAAGAGGTGAGGGGAGAAAAAGAAAAGAAAAAACTAATATTTTTTTAATTGCGGAAAACATCAAATAAGAAAGGCCCCCTAGTCCCTTCACTTGTGCGGGCGTGTTTCTGTTTTGAGAAGACTGCGTGAAGTCGAATCAAATCCGCTTAGTAGCAGGTAGCAGTATATGAATACCAAGCACTATATAAGACGGCACAGCGATCCAAATCAGCAATGCAGCTGCTGTAGATATTTACAATTCATTTGCATATCTTTGCGGGGTGGAAAGCGTGCATACGTAATGCCTACTGCAGTTATTTTTAATATATCGGCTTCTTCATTTTCTACCTTAGTGCGGTTCATACAGATACTGCTCGACCGGTCCTATGTTTACTCACGTGCTCGTCCATGGATTATGGATATCTCGTCGTATATACAAGAGCAAACATGGAGGTTTGGAGACCATCAACACTTGTTGACGCGGACTTTAGGAGCCACATACGAGCCTGGAGGTCGAACGACATTATTCTACAACAATATCTTGACCCAGCTTGAAGCCTTAATACCTCTATAGTATTAGGATAATACCGTTAATACTTGCTTATTGTTGTAAAGTCAATATATTCTAGGCTAGGATAGTTYAGTTAGTTAGATAGTTAGTAAGCAACGCTGTCTCCGTCCTATTACGAGGCATTCTATGTGTTCTTGTTGTTTGAAAACAACATTGTAGAGGTCATGCTGGGTATGTCTTTGTCTCTATCAATATGTACATCAATGTATGACGATAATATATGACCTGATATCCTAATGAGATTAAAGTAACCCGCTTGATGGGGGATGAATGAATAAATGAATGAATAAATGAATGAATGGATGAATGGATGAATGAATGGATGAATCAATGAATGAATGGATGAATGAATAGTTGAATGGAGGAAAGAATGAATGGAGGAATCATAATTTTGAGTTCGGAAAGAGGGATTACATAATGGTTCTGTTTTGGCCGACAGATCATGACCAACTGACCTGCATCAATGAATATTGTACGTTCAAAACAATAATATTCAGAAATATACCTCAATACTGACTTACAAATACAATATAACTGATGACAAACGTCGAAACCGTGAAATATTACCTTATGGGGTAAATTTATGCTTTTTCTTTGACGGCAGTGGAAACCTTTACTTCCCGTGGCTGCTTTCTAACCATTAAAACTGCATACTGAGAAACAATTGTGAACAACATTCAACACCTGTTTTATAATGACTATATTTGTTCATCAAGACTTTTTTTCTAAAAACTAGACTGGTTTGAATATGGTTAATAAACTCTTGCGGTATTCATTTTGGAAATAAGTTGTGACAGGATTATCAAGACGAATAAAGAACACACTTGATGCAAGGATCAGAGCAAGATTAATGATCAAGACTCAAGGAAGTAGTCAACTTTATTTATCCACTTGTTCAGACAAAGCTTTTTTATCTATTAATTCATCTCCTTCATAATTAATCAAAAGATTGTCAACGAACTAATTATTTGGTGATTTATTTACGGGACTGATTCATTTGTTCAGATATCGTAGTCCGAGGTAGTGTATTTTATTTCAAAAGGTTATGGCGAGTGAAGGTAATGTTATCATTTAGGTAAATAGTACGGTTGAATGGTCCTTACCAACCTTGTCTGGAGCTAGATTTGTAATTAATACAACTGTTCTGTTACGAGCTGTGATTCACATGCACGACGTCAGTACCGGCTTGTCATCTGCAGTGACAGTACAGATCACCTGACATACTTGGATAAGTACTCTTGCAATAAATCAAGCCGCGTAGATGGCAATTTAAAGCACTCTCTAATTAAGAAACACTCCTCAGTAGAAGATGCAAAATCAACGATATCGTACGATTGTGTGTGTGTTAGTGGCAGCAGTAATAATAATAGGCATAGGATGTCTTATCACAGGTATTGTCATGATGACACAAGCTCCAAAGAAGATAGAAGAGAGTCCGCCTACTACGACATGGGGTTACTCCACCGAGGGTAAACGAATTGGACTCGAAAACGTTCTTCAGAAAATTCAAGACAAGTATTTCGAGTTGTATCCTAACAGAATCTCGTACAAGCCTGGTGTTAATACAGCCGAGGTTAAAAGCAAATACAAACCGTTTGATCCTTCACCCCTTCTCATCAAACATAGAACTGATTCTGCAAGAAAGCTGTTGAAAGAACTGAATGAGCTTCAAGTATCTACTGATAAACTGAAACAGTTCGAGAAACGAGCTATCGCCCAGGCCAAGTACTGGGTGTATCATGTGCTGCCATATGGAGTACCATACGGATATGACTATTATAATGGAGACTGGATGATGGGGCCAGATATTTTTTGTTGGGCTCCAATGTGCCACACAACGTATGAGGTTCAGCGATCTATGAAACACTTTAAGCCATCTAGTGTGAAGGATATGGAACTGCTTAAAGAAAAACTGATAAACATTGGCCAAGGGTACAAACAAGTCACCGAAAACTTACGCTTAGGGATTGCAGCAGGAATGGTACGAAACGTGGAGGCTTGCCAAAGTGGGTTGCGCGCAATAACCAGTAGATTCCGTCAGATTCACGTGTCAGGAGAAAGAGGTATGGGGGAGTGAGTATATATGTACTAGATAAAATATAAAGAATTAACAGCTCTAATATTCTGATAATATCCGACTGTCTACAGTAAGCTGATGTATTCCCATGCATTTGATTTAATCACATTTTAGATTTACAAACCCGTCTACTAGAAGCAGTTTAACTAGTGCTTTCTTAGAATACTAGTATTATAACGGTTTTTTTTTACAATGTAACAACCAAAAGGTCAGGCAGGAATCCGTTAGTGACGTCCATTCCAAAAATCACCCATCAGACCGTGAATAAATATTATCAAAGAAAAAAATAGACTTTGCAAGACAGGGGAACTCAGTCTTTCAGTGAAATTCTTGCTTGCGATCACTGAAATAGTGTTGGTATCGACGAGGCAGTAATACAAAGGCACTTGAAAATCTAACGATATTTGAAACAGATTTGTTTTAACGAAGCGACGAATAGGATATTTTTGTTTTTGATGTGGTCGAAGAAAAGCATAGAAGATATCTATTGTATCACGCAACTTTTTTWAAATGACCTGATGGCCGTAACGAATAGTTTAAAATTGCATAGCAATAGTACGCTGCTACATTATCAAACAATCCCTCGCTGTTTAACACAGTAAAAATTGTCCTTCGATGAAGTAGTTTAACGTCAAAAATAAATAATATGCATCATTGATTGTTCCAGAAATCTGCATTAATCTATTGTTTTTAATTCACTGTCATATTTTGCGTCTTTTTTCGGACGGTAGACTAGTAATATCAAGTGTTTATTTGTCTGTGTTGGTGTGTTATATTTGTTAAATATTCACAAAATATTAATGAAGCATTTGCCCAACGTACCTAACTTGTAACATGGAAAAAACCCCACACAGTTGGATAAAATCCGATCCCAGCCGAACAGAGGCCGAAAGGATCACGGGACCTAAAACGTGAAGGACCAGTAAAACCCTCACAAATCTAATTTTTTATATATTTTTTCAATCGAAGGAATTTTGAATTCTTCTTTCGTGGAGGAAATGTTGAGCCAAGACTTTTTATCGGACTTCAACACGAAAACCGAAGAAGTTAACCAATGGAAGACCAAATATGGTAAAGAAGCCAGCCAATCAATAGAAGACTTTCTCGTAAAGTACGTTGGGGAACCAATCTATCAGCATCTCAGGTAAATACATGTAAAGCTATGTATGTGTTGATTCACCTTGACTTATTATACTCCACCACGTGCATTCAGTATCACTATTGGCGTCCTTCGTCTCTCTCGCATGACTGGAGTCAACTGGATTACTCTTCAGATTTAGTGCTCGACAACATACTGCAGTTATAGTGTACAAGTGATATGCCATATCACTCGGAGATAATGAGTAGTCGAACTGTTGAGGATAATGGGAAAGACGCCAAATCAAGTCAAAGATCTCCATTTTAGGAACGAAGCAGATACTGCAAATGACATCGTTCACATGCTTCATAATTTGAGCGGCTTTCGTAATGTCATTTCAGTTTGAAGCCAAGCTCGCTGTAATAGAACGATGTATATGACAATTCTTACTTTGACGCAGGTATTTAGAGACAAACTACAGCATGCATTGCGTCTTGTCTAGTATCTCCAGTGGGTTTGGATCTCTACCTTTACAACATGTTTACGTCAACAACACTCCAGTTTCCAAGGCAACAGGGCTTCTTCCAAATGGCGAACAGCTGAATGGGACTGAAACCTACTACAAACTACTCTCGTACTTCACCACCATTAATATTACAGCAAACGAAATACAAGCATTAGGAACTCAACTGGTGGACAGCCTGTATGGTGAGGTTAGTGTTCATATCTAACGACTGTGCTCTTAATTACTGATATAGTTTAATGTCTCG